GGGACGTATGTGATGCCAGCTAGACGCCAGTTTGATACTTCTCAACCTTGGCCACGTTAAGATGTGTGGACTTCAACTCCCAGAATTCCCTAGTCAGAGGGGACGTATGTGATGCCAGCTAGACGCCAGTTTGATACTTCTCAACCTTGGCCACGTTAAGATGTGTGGACTTCAACTCCCAGAGTTTGTGACCTTCCCAACCGGCTCTCTGACAAGCAAAATCCATTGGGGGGGGACGGGACATGATGCGGATTTGCTTGACGACCATGTGATTTCCTTAACAACCGTGGTAAAAAATAAAAAATAAAGAGGTTGTAAAATCGGGCACCCCTCACTTAACAACTGCCTAGGTTAGCAACGGATCTCTATTGTCATAAGCTGAGGACTGCCAGCCTATCGGCTCTCCCTGTGGCTTCGTATATTTTTAGGCTCCTGAGAATTACAGACTAAAGCAAGGGTTTAATCACCCTCATTAAGTTCTGAAAATACCGCAGTCTTTAAACACACCTTTCTTACAAGAGACGCACCTACAATTAAACAAAGAACACAGCATACTTTTAAAAACCAGAGGCTTAAATTTAGGCCAATATAATAATAAAAATAATGCACAGATGTAGATCAAAACTTTCTAAGCAGAAAAGATAGATTTCTCCTGTTTACGCATACCAGCTTTGCCCAAGAAATTCCCTTCCAACGTACCAGGAAGCTTTTATTATTATTATTACTGTTATGTACTTTGGCAATCTATGTATAATCTAACCTTTCTCCTGGGGAGATATATACATATAATATGTAGTTATAATCTATATAATATAATTATATTATAATATATATAATATGTAGATGGTTGTCACTGCTGCTTGTTCCAACCCTGGTTGTGGGAATCCAGACATAGTAATTGGGTAAATCGTGGCTCATGATCTTGCCTTGTTTAAAGCAAGCCGCAATGGTTTGCAAATCATGGTTTCTTACAAAAGTAGACCACATCTGTCAGTCTGGATGACACACCTGGCTTTGTATGGCACCTAAGGGACGGTCTCTAGAAGCGATGGGGCCAAGGATAATTTGGGGAACCTTTGTTGACCCTTCGCGTGGCCAAAATATCCCTGCAAAATGAAAGCAAGGCCAACATTTTAAAAAGCAGAATTCTGCAGGGCCCCGATAGCCGAAGAACAGATGATGGCTTGCACCCTTCCCACTGCAATTCCTCGCTCCTGGTACAGTGAGCTAACACTGGTAATGTTGGATTTTCCCTCTTACCAGAGGGAGCCCCCTTGTGGAGTACCGTGAAGCCGTTACCATAGCAACTCCACTGCGCTGTATAGTAGAAGCCATTTTGCCACAGTACAGTAGAAGCCATTTTGCCACAGTACAGTAGAAGCCATTTGAAGACACAACAGGCTGTATCGTAACAGAACACACACC